TGCTATAGGGTCACTATATATATATTTTTATATATGACTATAGATAGAGCAGAACTTCATGGGTAATAGCAACTTTGTACGTGAGGCAGGATACCAACGGGAGAACAGTATTCTCAATTTCTTTTTTTGTTAAAGAAAAAAAATTAACAAGGCTCTGAGAACATCTCATATATTTTATTATTTTCAAGTATTTCAGTTCATTTTAGCTTTTGCACTTTCTTCATAAATGATATGGCTTGAAAATGTAACATTAAAGTACACTCACTACATTCCATGAATTTTAAAAATTCTTTAAGTTTTACATGTTTCTTTCTAGTCTTGATACTCAGGTAATTTATCTATAAACCTGTTTCCGTTGAGTTGATTCGACTCATAGCGACTCTATAGGACAGAGCAGAACTGCCCCATATGGTTTCCAAGGAGCGGCTGGTGGATTCGAACTGCCAACCTTTTGGTTAGCAGCCAAACACTTAACCACTGTGCCACCAGGGCTCCATGCATTTATCTATGGGTGCCCAAAAATGTGGATAATAGTTCATAAATAAGGAGCAGACTGAAAAGCATTGAAAGTACTACCTTCATACTTATTCCTGGAAGTAATATTATCAGGTCGTGCTGTCAGAAACTTCATTTTTACCTGAACTCACATGTATCTACCTCTTTGTGACCGCTGTAGTTCACACTGACAGAAGCACCAGTTGGGTGGCTCTGTGGACAGTGTCGGTGCTTCTACTCTGTCTGCCATCAGGGCTGGGATGGTGAAGTGAGGGCTGGAATCTGTCCAGATATCAGAGCTGGATGTTCTCATGGTTATTTGGTCGTGTGGTTGGTACAATGCTGTTTCCAGAGTTATCACCAAATAATGTGAAAAATCAGGTGTTAGTCAATGAAGTGTCTAATCATTTAGATAAAACATTTCTAAAGTGTTAATTCAATATTACTGAGATCATCAATTCTCTATTTCTTATTCAAATTAAGTATTAAACAACGAAATATTTGAAATAAATGTAATGTTTAAGAGTAGTGACATTTTGGGAGTCTGTGAATTCTCAACACTCCTACAGAATGAAACCAATATAGTTATTCTTCATACGTGCTGATCTTTGTGATTTGTAAATAAACCTTCCTAAAGTTTTAGCTGCATGTTCATTTTGGTTTCTTTGCATACCACATGAATCTGTATCACTACATCTTTATATTATCTTAGGAATGGGTACAATGAAGATGAAGAGATCTATGCTTACTTTGTAGTTATTAAGCCAGTGAGACATTTGATATACTAAAAATAAAATCTGTATTTTATTTGGTTGACATTCAATTTTGAACTAATTACACTTCACCCGCTACTCCAAAAGAGAATATATAATACCTTGAACTTTTCATGATTAACTTAACACAAAAAACTTTTTTCTTTTGTTGGTATTTACTTACTTGGGCTGGAGGCAGTTTACTTGAATAGTTACACTGATTTAACTAGAATTACAATTAATATGATTCAACAGAATGGAAAAGCATAAAAAGTTTTTTTTTTTTATATGAGCTGCAAATTTATTATTGCTATCAAGTACAAACATGATTTTCTAAAATAGGCTTTGGAAGTAAAATTAGTATCAGTAGGAAAAATTCAATTTAAGCATCTGTTAAGTGATTAAGCGTTTGGCTGCTAACCAAAAGGTCGGCAGTTTGAATCCACCAGCTGCTCCTTGGAAACCATATGGAGCAGTTCTACTCTGTCCTAACGGTTCACTTGCAATGAGTCGGAGTCGACTCGATGGCAACAGGTTGTTTTTTTATTATATAAGTTAATTGCATTTATTAGATGCAGTTTTATAGTGAATGCTGTCAGAATTTCAAAAGCAACTTTCCCTGGGCAGTGTGTTATGGCCTACTGGTAGAGGAATGTTTGACACAGGTGGTAATCACACTGGGTGGTGATAGAAGGTGAAGGGCAAAGATAACAAGTTTATAGGTGATCTTTAATCTTGAAATGAATATGCGTTCTCAAACAATTTAAGAGGCTAGTTTATGAAATACTATATATTGTCCCATAGCCTAAAACTCCTTTTCTGAGATATCTAAGCCTAGGAAAAACAAAAGCCTGCCTGTTAGAGATAAAATATGCAAATATAGTTTGAACATACATTTTGGAATCAACAGCCTGTATTCCCCCTCCCTGCTTCCGTATGTACCAATGTTCAGGAGTGGTGTTACGAACAATATTCCGCTAACTTGGGAATAAAGCAGAATATCTGATAGCCAGCTTTTCCTCCCCTTAGCCTTTTGTTAGCCAGACGCTAGAAAAATAATTATCTTTAAGACAAGACTCTACTCTTGAGCTCACAGTCTTGTGGAGAGAGAGAGAAAAAATTAGAATGTAATTAATGTGATCAGCGTAAAAGTGATGTATGTTGGAACTATTTACTGATTTTTTTGCCCAAAATTGTACAAAGAGAAGAAGAGAAATAGGTAACAGAACTTTTAAAAAGAATTTTTAGAATTTCTGTTTTTGAAAGACACTTTTACTTTGAAAAGCACACACCCCCCACTCCCCACACATACCAGTAACAAGGTATTTGGAGGACATTTTTTAATTCAGGTATCAGTAACTTGTTTCAGGATCATTTAGATCAGAATGTTCTCCTGCCACCTAGGCTTTTCATCTTAGTGTGGAAATGAATTTTAGTTTTTTATTCAGTCTCTGGAGCCTTTGTGGTGCAGTGTTAAGCGTTTGGCTGCTAACCAGAAGGTCCACAGTTTGAATCCACCAGCCGCTCCTTGGAAACCCTATGGGGCAGTTCTACTCCGTCCTAAAGGGTCACTATGAGTCAGAATCGACTCAACGGCAACAGGTTTTTGAATATTGTCTCTTTTCAATTATACTGAACATATGAAGCCCTGATAAATCTTAAACCCCTTGTAGTAAATCATGTATGTTTTTGCTTCGCCTTTATTTTTCCCTGTTATAATAGAACCAACTTACATTTGAAGTCCAAAGCCAGCATTTGTTCACTTTGATGTGGGATTGGTGATCATCCACAAGCCGCATGGCTATCTGGGAGTAATTGTTGGTTGGGATATTGAAGCCAGAGCTCCAGAAGAGTGGCTGAAACAGAAATAGCCTCCTGATAAACAGGTTATAAAGGGGTTTCATTCTTTTAATACAACAGTACAAATAATCTTCTTGAAGGATTTCTATTAGCTCTGCCCTAAAGCAGTTGCTGCTGAGTCAGTTCTGGCTCATGGTGACCCCATGTATGTCAGAGTAGAACTCTGCACCATAAGATTTTCAGTGGCTGACTTTTTGGAAGTAGATCACGAGGCCTTTCTTCTGAGGAGCGTCTGGGTGGACTCGAATCTTCAGACTTTCAGTTAGCAGTAGAGCACATTACCGTTGGACTACTCAGGAAATCCTTGACTCAGATTAAGAGCCAAAAACCCGTTGCTATCGATTCTGACTCATAGTGACCCTACAGGACATAGCAGAACTGCCCCACAGAGTTTCCAAGGTTGTAATATTTACAGGAGCAGACTCCCACATCTTTCTCTTGCAGAGCATCTGGTGGGTTCAAACTGCCAACTTTTTGAGTGCTTAACCACTGCGTCTCCAGGGCTCCTTTGACTCAGATTGGCAACTGTGAATTCCAGTGTTATATACTTGAACGTCTGTGAGTAATTTAGGCCACATTACATTCGATTACAAGCTATCTGGTTGCAAATATAATATGCATTAGATGTTTATTGTTATTTTAAATAAACAAATTATATAGTTTTTTTCTGGAATGAATAATAAAGCATATGATTTTGTAACACACATTAACTCCCACTTTTGACCTCATAATTCATGTTTTTATTTCTGTAGGCTATAAGAACTCCTCACTATTGAATACTTGTAAGTCTGACAGAATTAGGATATCCTCGACCTACATTCCTGAGGAGGACATAGCAATTATTATGGGATATGAGTTACAGCATCTTAAGTTCCAAATTATTTTTCTAGATCTTATTTACATCTAAGTCAAATTAACTGTTAAACAGGAATACAGATAAAAGGTAAATAATTACTGTAGAAAACATAATCTTTAGCATTTTTTTTAAAATTAATGGAATCCTAAATTTTGTTGGTACCATAGAGAAAGCTTATTTTAATAGCATTTCCTTATAAAAAAGAGCTTGGGGATATAACAGGTTTGTGGCAAATATCCTATTTAGAATTTTTTTTTTTTTTTAGAAATCAGCAAATGTAATTTGCTGCTTTCTGGAAAGATTTTCTTTAAAAAAGAGAAGAATCAGAAAAAAGAAATGCTGTCAGGATTAAGTTTAGGATACATTTATTCTGGCAGGAACTGTGACATAGCTCCTCTAAATAATTTATTGTGAGACTCCATTATATGCCTTGGGTCAAAAATTAAATTGCCACAAACTCAAAACAGACATTTTTAGTCTTAAATAAACAGGATGTCATACATAAACCAGTCAAATTGTTGAAGGATTTCTTCCCTTAACTGCTCAATAAAAGTGTAGGACTGTAGATTTTAAGAATTTTTTGAAGCAGTATCTTTTAAAAACCCTGTAAATTCTTTTTTTTTATTGTGCTTTAAGTGCAAGTTTACAGTTCAAATTAGCTTCTCATACAAAAATTTATACACGCACTGTTATGTGACCCTAGTTACTCTCCCTATACTGTGAAAGCACACTTCTTTCCACCCTGGATTTCCTGTGTCCATTCAACCAGCTCCTGTCCCTTTTTGCCTTCTCATCTTACTTCCGGACAGGAGCTGCCCATTTAGTTTCACGTACCTACTTGAGCAAAGAAGCGTTCTCTTCACAAGTATCATTTTATGTCTTATGGCCCAGTCTAATCTATGTCTGAAGAGTTGGCTTCAGGAATGGTTTCAGTTCTAGGATAACAGAGAGTCCAGGGGCCATGTCTTCCGGGGTCTCTCCAGTCTCAGTCAGACCATTAAGAATGGTCTTTTTACTAGAATTTGAGTTCTGCATCCAACTTTTCTCCTGCTCCATCAGGTACTCTCTGTTGTATTCCCTGTCGGGGTGGTCACTGGTGAAAAAACACTGTAAATTCTTAAAAGCGTTTGCTAACTTGAAAAATTTTGTTTCCAGGTATTTCATGCTAAGTTGAAAGCCTACTTTACCAAATATGATGGAACCAAATGTGTTACGAAGCCATGGGTAAGAGAAATCTACCCATGGTTAAATATTTGTTGGGAGTGATTTTTCTTTTTCTTTATGAACTGCTCCAACTCTAGTTTTCTACTCAATTGTATAAATGAAAGCTAAGACCTGGTGGTACAGTGGTTAAGCGCTCGGCTACTAACCGAAAGGTTGGTGGTTTGAAACCACCAGCCGCTCCCTGGGAGAAAGATGTGGCAGTTTGCTTCTGTAAAGATTACAGCTTTAGAAACCCTACGGGGCAGTTCTACTCTGTCCTTCAGGGACTCTATGAGTCTGAATCGACTTGATGGCAATGGGTTTAGTTTTGGTTAAGATATATTTAGCTTTTTGGGGGGTGGGTGTAAAATTCAACATATTTTACACTTGGTTTCTGAAAATTTTGTTTTTAATATAACTTTTAATGGAGGATTTGGAAAAACCATTTTTTAATTGGGTTGAAAATAGTCAAAGGATGTAGTTGATATAATGGCTTCCATTTACTGAGAGACTACTATGTGCTGAGTGCTGTTCTTATGGCCTTATACTTATCAACTTCAATCCTTACAGTAACACTGCAAGGTAGTTATTATTAGTTTCATTTCATCAGTCAGGAAACAGAAACTTAAAGCAATTAAGTGCCTTGCCAAGTTTACACAACTTGTAAAGTTGCTCAGCAAATATTTTGAGAGCCTACTATGTGTTGGCCCTGACACTATGCTGGGAATGCTGCTATGAATAAAAAAGACAAGATCCCTATTTTCAAGAAGCTTTCACTTTACTAGCAAAGTCAGGATTTGAACCTAGAGATGTTACATTCCAAAACTTTTCTTCCATGTACCCTTTCCCTAACGACACTCCAATACAGATAGATAAAATGGTTTCAATTCCACTTGGGAATGTGGGTGGGGATGAAAACACAGGAGAGTATGTTGTAGGAAAGAAATGTTGGTATATGAGTATCAAGACATAGCACAGAAAAACCCTTAGGAACAGACTATATGATAACTTGGCTTATGATCACCTGTAAAGAGTATGTAATGTAATAGCAATAATAGGAACTTGCTGTTAAATCTCAAATAGCCTTAAAGATTAATATTATCTCAGTGTATAACTCTGTGCTGTCCAACATGGTAGTCATTAGCCACTTACAGCTATTGAGTACTTGAAATATAGCTAGTGCAACTGAGGAACTGAATTTTAAATTTTATTTAATTTTAATTAATTAAAATTTAAAAACTGATACTTGATCCAGTTCCTGGAAATCTTTTAAGCATGTCTGAAACAATTTGACTATGTGAATCTATGTTTTAAACTGTATAATTTAGGAAATTTAAACACAGACCAAATGTTTCCAATTAAATTTTACATCTGAATTGAGATATACTGTAAACTATACACTAGCTTTTGAAGATTTGGTACAAAAAGAACAACATAAAATATCTTATTGACGTTTGAAATATTGATTACATGCTGAAACAGTAACATCTTGGACATACTGGGTTATTGTTATTAAAATTAATTTCCTGTTTTTAAATTTTTTTAAACTTTTTAAATACGTCTGTCAGAGAATTTACATATGTAGCTTGCATTATATTTGTATTGGACAGTGCTAGTATAACCTTAAGGAGCCCTGGTGAGGATAGTCTGGTGCATAAATTATGTCTTTTATTTCCGGCATATAAGTCTTTTCCTGGAATTGCTCTTTCACAAAGTTATTACAGATGAGGTAATTGGTCTGCAAATTAATGGTCTCTGGATTTAGTAAGAGAATGTATGGTGACAGATAGTCCGCTATGAGTCTCTTGCTCTCCTACATGTCTTGCTGGGTGTGCCTAGAATGCAAGGCTCTGATCCTGTTCTTTCTTCAGGTCATTTCTGAGGATTGTGTTTGCAGTAAGCATCCTTGAGGGCTGAGATAATGTCTCCCTCCAGAACAAAAAACAGTTTGCTTCTGCTCGTGATAAAAGCAATGAATCCTCCAAACTCAGTATTCCTCAGCTATGATGCAAACCCACTGCATGTGTACCCATTGTTCTATAGTCTTATCGTGTTGCCCCCATAGGGCTTGGGCACAAGGGGAACTGATGCAAATATGCTGATGCTCATGCTGCTTACTGTGCCATGAATAAGACAGACCTTTTTCTCTGACCCAGGAGTCTCATGTTCCCTTCCAGCATCCAAGAAATAATACCAGGCTAACGGATTAGCTTATAAACCCAACAAACTCCATTGCAGTAGAGTCGATTCTGCTCATAGCGACCCTATAGGACAGAGTAGTTTTGTACCATAGGGTTTCCAAGGAGCAGCTGGTGGATTCAAACTGCCGACCTTTTGGTTAGCAGCCAAGTTCTTAACCAGTGCACCACCAGGGCTCTGATTAGCTTGAAAGTAGGGTAAAATCAAATCTCTTACCCGACAGGATTCACTTAAAATCCTGTATCTATATTAATCAAGAGTTATATAAAATGATTGTTTGATGGAACATAAGAACTTCCTTTCATATGTAAAAAAAAGTTGCCCTATAATTTTTAAAATTTAATTTGTTAAAGCCTAGCTTTTGAATTTTTTAATAATTTTTTATACTGAAAAATGTATAATTTTCCATCATAAAAACATGGCTGAGAAAATTTAGCTTAATCTTTGTTAAGAATCATGTTACTTACACATGCAATTGTATGAATTTCAGTATATAACTGTACAAACTATATATTTATTTCCAAAATTAAAAAATTTCCCAGAGTAGTTTTTGAAAATAGAAACAAAAATAAACATAGATATTAGATTTTTGGAAAAAAACATTTTACGACAAAAGCAAACATTCCAAAAAGTATAAAACAGATAAGATACAAACAGAATATATTTTGGCTGGCATTTCAGAGATGCTTTTTTTTCTTTTCTTTCCCCTTTACCTCAAAAGTTATAAATACTTTTGAAACAGCATGTAGTGTTGCACTTTTGATTTTTTGGTGTACAGTTAATGAGCTTGAGAGTCTTGATGACTGATGATCATCTATTTGGCCTTCCCATTCTTTTGTTTCTTCTTCTTTGATTAATAAAGGTTTTCCTATAGTTTGGCCAACAAGGTTACAGACTTCTTGAGCTTTACGCCATGCATTCTCAACAGCAACAAGACAGGCTTTCCGCCTTAGGAATTAAATGCAGAGATTATTAATACATGAAGCACAGCACTGAATAGTTTTGTTTAAGGAATTGATAATTTAGTTAAAGATGTGCTTAACTTACCGAAGATTCTCAACAGAACCCGGTGTATGATAGAACTGGGGTGGACTGATGACAACAGAACGATCTAGCTTTTCAACAAGGAAGTTACAAATATTTTGCATTTTTACAAATTCAGTAAATGTAATGCAGACCTGTAAATGAAATGACACTTAAAATTATTTTCATGTCTGATGCACTGTTTCAAAATTTCCACTAAATGTGATTAAAAAATAAAAAAGCCAAATTTTATAGTACGTAATAGATAAGAAAAGTCTATCTGATAATTGTAACTAAAATCAAATAAAAATTATTTCATTATTAAATTTAGGAGTTTTCATTATGAATTTTTAACAGTTATCTAATATTGATCTGAATACTTAAAAATTTCTCTTAAACGAGGTACTTTCTATGAAAGAGAATTGAAAGATTTGCCTTCATTATTTGGCTAAATTCTAACCCTAATCTCTATGCCATTAACATCCTGATGAGCAGTAATAATGTCATATTACACTTCACTGCTGTCTTTGAGGTATGTATCTTCCTTTTTTCCAGTAGCTATTTTCAGACCAATTTTCTGAAACACATTTATTTTCCTCACTGTCATGGACTGAACTGTGTCCCCCAAAAATATCTTCAACTTGGCTAGGCCATGATTCCCAGTATTGTGTGACTGTCCACCATTTTGTCATTTGATGAGATTTTCCTTATGTGTTATAAATCCTATCACTATGATGTTAACAAGATGGATAGCAGCAGTTATACTGATGAGATCTACAAGATTAGATAGTGTCTTAAGCCAATCTCTTTTGAGATATAAAAGCGAGAAGCGAGCAGAGAGACAGGGGCCCTTACACCACCAAGAAAGCAGTGCCGGGAGAAGAACGCATCCTTTGGACCTGAGGTTCCTGCACTGAGATGCTCCCAGAACAAGGGAAGACTGATGACAAGGACTTTCCTCCAGAGCCGACAGAGAAAGCCTTCCCCTGGAGCCACTGCCCTGAATTCGGACTTCTAGCCTACTGGACTGTGAGAGAATAAACTTCTCTTTGTTAAAGCCATCCACTTGTGGTATTTCTGTTATAGCAGCACTGGATGACCAAGATACTCATTTCCTCACTCTTTAATATCCCTAACAATGAAAACCATCTCCTCTGCCTTTAAATATGTTGAAGAAGTCCTTGTATTCAGCAATACTTTAAAACTGTAGTCTTCAAACTTTTTGTGGAAGCAGACTAAACACTTTCTTCAAAGGAAATCTTACACTAAAAGCCCAAAATGTAAAACATAGAAGTACAGGTACTTGAAAGAAGGCAGGGTAGGGGAAAGAAAGAGAGGGGCAAAGTGACCTTCTGAGTCATCTTATACAATGCAGAACAGTTTGTAAAACACTGTCTTTAACATTAAGTGTTATCCAATGTCAGACTAGTGTTCTATCTGGTTTCAATACTGAGTAACAATCAGAGAGCAATGGGGAGAGGAGCAAGGATTCATCACTTCAAATTGCAAAAGACTGGGATACCCGAAAGCATGTTATTTTCTCTTTTAGCTGAATCATCTTCTACGTTTTATATTAGTCTATTAGTCTCCTTTCAAGAACTAATGTCTTAAAGAGCAGTCCATTCTGTTTCCATTTCATTACTATTAACTTCCTTTCTTAATTTCAGTTTGCTTTTATATTTAATATTCCAAAGAAGTTTGTGAAGTTATCGATGATCTCCTTATGCTATCTCAAACTTCCTAATATTTGATATTTAATACTGCCAACACTTCATTTAAATTTACCTACCTACCCACCACCCCCTTGCCAAATTCTTGTCCTTTTGCTCTCAAAACACTTTTTCATGGTGTTTCTTTAGCCAATTTTTTTCTCTGTTTTCTATAGGCTCCACACTTCATCCTCCTGTCCTTTACCCATTGGCATGCAATATTTAGATTTCTATGATCCTTTCTGGAACTCTTCTACCATCATAGTTTATTTTTTAGCTTTTTTTAACTTATTATGGAAAATGTTAAACATACACAAAAGTTGAATTAATACTATAAAAAACTCCCAGACACCATTTACCTAGCTTTAACAATCATCACCTCATGGCAATTTTTGTTTTTTACTTTATGTACACTACACATGTTCTACAGTCTTTTTGGTGTAGAGTTCTATGAGTTTTAACAAATGCACAGAGTTACATAACGACCATGACAAATGTACAGAACTGTTCCATCACCCCCAAAATTCCCTCAAGAAGCTCTTTATAGTCAGCTCCTCCATCTACTCCCAAAACCCTGGCAACCACTGATCTGTTCTCCATCCCATAGATTTGCCTTTTCTAAAATGTTGTATCAATGGAATCATACGGTATGTAGCCTTTTGAGTGTGGTTTCATTCACTTAGCATAATACATTTGAGATTCGTCCAGGTTGTTGCATATAATTTGTTCCTTTATATTGCTGAGTAGTATTCCATTACATGGATGTACCATGGTTGGAAAAATATTGAGGCTGCTTCCAATTTGGGGCTATTATGAATAAAGCTGCTTCTTAAAGTTTTTTTGGCTGTTTTCTTTTGCATTTTTATATGAATTTTATAATCAATTTGTCAACTTCCACAGAAAAAGCTGGCTGGGATTTTGATTGGGATTGCACTGAATCTATAAATCAAATTAGGGGGAACTGACATGTTAATGACATTGAGTCTTTCTGAACCATGAATGAGGTATGGGTTTCCCATTTATTGACGTCTTTAATTTCTTTCAGTGATGTTTTGTAGTTTTCAACATACAGATCTTTCACATTTTTTAATCAGATTTATTCCTAGGTATTTAATATTTTTGGTGATACTGTAAATGGAATTGTTTTTCTAATTCCAGTGTCTAATTGTTCATTGCTAGTATATTAAAATACAATTGATTTTGGAATGTTGATCTTGTATCTTGCCATCTTGTTAAATTCACTTTATTTTTATTTTTTCACTTTATTAGTTTTAATAGCATTTCTGTAGGTTCCACTGGATTTTCTACATAGACGGTCCACGAATAAAGATAGTTTTACTTCTTCCTTTCCAGTCTGGATGCCTACTGTTTCTTCTTGCCTGCGTAGTCTGCTGTTGTTGGGTGGAATGTTCTATAAATGTCAGTCAGGTCAAATTGGCTGGTAGTGTTCACATTTTATAGATTCTTACTGATTTTGTCTACTTGTTTTATTAATTATTGAGAAAGGTGTATTGAAATCTTTAACTGAAACTATTTTATCTAGTTCTCCTTGTAGTTTCTCAATTTTTGCTTCAACTATCTTGAAGCTCTTTTTGTTAGATGCATAAATGTTTACAGTTCTATATCCTCTTGTAAGTGGCCTCATTATCATTATGAAATGATCTTCTTTATCTGTTGTAATATTTTTTTGCTCTGAAATCTACTGTATCTGATAGTATTATAACCACTCCAGCTTTCTTTTGATTCATGTTGGCATGGTGTATCTTTTTCCATCCTTTTACTTTTAACCAATTGGTGTCTATAAAGTGTGTTTCTTTCAGGCAGCAAATATTTTTATGTAGTTCTTGTAATGGAGGTATTTAGACCATTTATATTTAATCTGATTAATAATATGGCTAAGTTTAAATCTATCATCTTATCTATTTATTTTCTATTTGTCTCACCTCTTATTTGTTCCCTTTTTCCTCATTTTCTGCCTTCTTTAGGACTGAGGTTATTATTATTACATCTTATATCTTTCATTGCCTTATTAGCTGTAACTTTTTTTTGTTGCTATTTTAGTATTAGCTTTAGAGTTTACAGTACACATTTTTAACTTATCAGTCTACCTTCCACTGATATTATACCATTTCATGTATATACAAGAACCTTATATTTCTATCTGTCCCTTCCTGACCTCCTTGCTATTGCCGTTACGTTTTACTTTTACATACGCTATAATCCCTACCATTACATCACTATTATTTTTTTGTTTAAAGTCAAGTATCTTTTTTTAAAGAGATTTGTATAATAAGAAAATATTTATATATTTATCTACATAGTTACCATTTTTGGTGCTCTTCATTTCTTTGTGTTGTTTCACATTTTTCTCTGGTACCATTTTACTTCTGCCTAGACAACTTTAATGTTTCTTGTAGTGCAGGTCTACCGGTGACGAATTCTTTCAGCTTTTGTATCTCTAAAAATGTCTTTATTTGGCCTTTGTTTTTGAAAGATATTTTTTATGAATATAGAGTTCTAGGTTGACAGTATTTTCTTTTAGTACTTTAAACATGCTGTTCCATTGTTTCCTTGCATGCTTTCTGATGAGAAATCTGTTGTCATCCTTATCTTTTTTTTCTTCTGTACATAACATGTCTTTTTATTCTGGTTCTTTTAAGATTTATCACTGGCTTTGAGCAATCTGGTTATGATGTGCTTTTGGTATAGTTTTTCATATTTCTTTTTTTTTTTGTGACTTGGTGTATGTTTTGCTGTGAATTTTTTTTTTATTTTATTGTACTTCAGGTGAAGGTTTACACAACAAAAGTTTCTCATGAAACAGTAGTACACATATTGTTTTATGACATTGATTAATAACCCCACGACATGTCAACCCTCTCCCTTCTCGACTTTTTTTTTTCTTTTTTTGGTGAAAATATACATAGCCAAAGATACACCATAGTTTTTCATATTTCTTGTACTTAGGGTTAAATTTCTTGGATATGTAGGTTTATTAGTTTTCATCAAGTTTGGAGATTTTTGGCTATTATTTCTTAAAATATTTTTCTTTCCTCCCACTCTTTTTTGGGGACTCCAATTATATGTATATTAGGCCACTCAAAGTTGTCCCACAGCTCACTGATTCACTTTTATGTCTTTTCTTTCTATGTTTCATTTTTGATAATTCCTATCGCTATGTCTTCAAATTCACTAATTGTTTTTTGAGTAATGCCTAATTTGTTGTTAATGCCATTCAGTGTATTTTCTTATTGTAACAATACAAAGAACACAACATTTGCCACTCAATGTTTTTCACATGCACACACAATTCAATAAAACTGATCAGAAGTTCAATTTAGGTCTCTTTTATATCTTCCATCTCTCTACTTTTGAACATACAGAATACAGTTATAACTATTTTGATGTCACTGTCTGCTAATTCTAACATCTGTGTCAGTTCTGAG